ATTGCTGTAATGCTTAAAAGAAAAATTACATAATATAAAGAATAATATTTTGATGATAGACTGGAACAAGAATCATATTTTCTCTCTAAACTAACAGAAAGGTGAGGAGAAAAAGATAGTCTAAGTAGATTAATTTCATCATCTTTCACCATTATTTCATTTCTAAGGTAAATTGAGAAATATAAATGTAAGCATATTATTTAATACACTTTACAACTTCCAAATTGCCAGAGTGTGGGAGGTGGCCTTCTAAAGAGGCTCCCAATGGTCCTCACCTCCTAGTATGGATGCCTTTATGTGTAGGTCGGACATAATTACTTGCCTCTAACAAAGAGAATGTGGCAAAATGATGAATTTCACTTCTAAAATGAGGTTATTAAATACGGACTTATGTCTTGCTTTCATTCTTTCTCTGACTCTTATTACACACTTTCTTGCATAAAGCCAGCTGCCATGTTGTGAGTTGCCCTACAGAGAGGCCCATGTGGCAGGAAACTAAGGCTCTTGGAACTAAATCCTGCCAACAACCACGTGGATGAACTTGAAAGCAGAACCTCCCCAAGTCGAGCCTTCAGCTGAGAAAGCCCAGTCCAACACCTTGACTGCAGCCTGTGAAAACCCTGAAGCAGAGGACACAGCCAAGCCATGCCAGGATTCATGACCCACAGAAAGTATGAGATAAAAAAGGTGTGTTGTTTCAAGCTGCTAAGTTTTGGGGTTGTTTGTTATATAGCAATAGATAACTAATACACTGAGGAAGAAAAAGTAAAAGCAAAACAAAAACAAAGAAAATAGATCATAAAGCAAAAGGGAAAACAAAGAAACAATAAGGATTCAAAATGTAAACAAACAAAATAGATAAGATTAACCAGATCTCATTAAAATAATTTCAAGTGGGATAGAATAAACAATTTTAAAAATGATTAAATAGAACAAAGAGTCACTTTATAATGGCAAAGAATACAACTCACAATAAAGTTACTGCTAGTATGAATCTTCATGAGCCATGTAATGTAACACTAAAATACATAAAGCAAAACTTCAATAAGTAAGAGAAAAAATAAAAGAACTGTTAGGAGATTTTAGTAAATTTTTTTCAATTCTTGAAAAATCAAGAAGAGAAAAAAGACATATGGATATAGAGGATGTGAATAGCATGACCAAAAAGACTGATGATATCTGCTATATAACAGATGCTCAATAAATACTTATCATATAAATCTTATAGCCTGAAAAGAAAAAAAATACTAATATTTTAAGTACTCATGTAACATTTACAAAAAGAAATCATATACACAGGAAAAAAAATTTAGACAATATATACCAAACATCTAATAGAGATTATTCTAGGAATGGATTTATTGGGTATTTTCACTTTTTATTATTGATTTCTGATAGTTTTAATTTTTACCACATAATTTGTTTTCATAATAAATAAATAAGATTTTTAAATGTTCCATCTCCTTACCTCTTTAGAATTTTCCTAAATCATTCCATTGTCTTTCCTTCTTACAGGAAAAACTGTTCCAACTTCTTTCTAAGAATAAACAGTTCATAGTTCCATCTTCTCTAGAATTATTCCATCAATTATTCCCTCTGTTCTAAATTTTCATTTTTCTGTTTCTAATGGCTTGTCCCTTCACCTTAGAAACATAGTTGTCTCCTGTCCCCAATCTTAGAGTATCCCTTCACATGAAGGGCAGCTTCCTCCTGGCCTTCTCTGCCAAAATTCTCTACCACATCCTCTGTTTCCACAATTACAAATCCACTTCTTCTAGACACACATTTTATTGAATCAATATTGTTTATGGACCTTTGTACTTAGAGCAATTACCAGTTTGTCCTCAAATCCTCAGCTCCATCAAAAGAGTTAACTCCACCAATACGATCAAGGGCAGAGGGCGAGAAGAGCACGCATCGTGAACAAGCCAGCCCCTCTCCTGGCAGGAGTCAGGAATGAGCATTGCCCTTGGACTGTGTCCTCCTCTCCCCAGGCTTCAACATTCCATCAACCTGAAACAAGAGTCCACCTGATTCTCAGATGTCTTCACCTCCATCCACAGCGTCAGGGAACCCAAACACTCATCCCTACTCCACACACTCATAGCCTCTCTACAATTTTATTTCTTGACTCCTCTGGGACTGATTTCAATATCCCCTTTATCCCTGTTTATGTCAGTCACCAGAATAAGCCCCAGAACTCTCAGATCTCTCCCGAAGTCTCACTCCTAGAAGGCTCCGACCATCCCCTGATCTGTCTCCATCTTCTGGTCCTCCTCAACCCCTGAAGCTCTTCCACTGTGCCCTTTGGAATTTTTGATTCCTCTCTCACATCACTTTTCATTGTTAACACTCTTGTTCAAGCCACTATCATTTCTTGCCTATTTGGTTTCCACTATTGCTCTCTACAATCTGTCCTGGATAGAGCAGCCAGAATAATCTTTTAATAATCATGCCTGACCATGTCACTCCTCTGCTCAACACTCTCCAGCAGCTGCCCATTTCATCTGGCGTGAAAGCCAAGTCCTTGCAGTGCCCTACAAGCCCCGTGTCAACGGTCCCAACCTACTGGTTATGCTCACTCCTCTTACTTCTTACCCTCACTCTCTCCAACTCAGCCACACTGACACCCTTGCTGTTTCTTGAAAACTCTAGGCACACCTTCGTCTTGTGGCCTATGCCTAACTGTTCTCTCTGCCTGGAATGTTCTCTCAGAAATCCACAAAGCCATTCTCTTACCAACTCCAGGTCTTTCTTTGAATGTCACCTTCTCAATGAAATTCACCCTGATCCTTGTATTTAACCTTTAAACCCACACTGGCAGCCGGCCTAGTGGTATAGTGGTTAAGTTCACACACTCTGCTTTGGTGCCCTGGGATCACCAGTTCAGATCCTGCACGTGGACATACACACTGCTCATCAAGCCATGCTGTGGTTGCGTCCCACATAGAAGAACTAGAATGACCTACAACTAGGATATACAACTATGTACTGGGGCTTTGGGGAGGGGGAAAAAAAAGACGAAGATTGGCAACAGATGTTAGCTCAGGGTCAATCTTCCTCACAAAAAGCAAATAAACAAATAAATAAATCCCCTGACCCGAGTTTCCCTGTTAAGAAAACCACACTCTCTCCTGCATTTCTTGTCTCCTTTATTCTGCTTTATTTTTCATAACACTTATCACCTTCTAATATACCACAGAACTTACTTTAGTTCATGTTTATTATTTATCATCTGTCTCTCCCATACGCACATGAGAAGGTAAGCTCCATAAAAGCAGTAAACTTTTTCTGTTTTATTTGCTGCTGTAACTCAAGTATCTAGAATGGTGCCTAGCACATAGCAGGCACTCAAAAGATATTTGTTGACTGACTGAATAACTGGTTCTCAGCCTTGTCAAATCTAACGCTCCTTTTAATAACAAATATGGGGTTACATCCTGTTTGACATTGTGAAGAGAAAGTCATAAGCTACCTATACATGTAATTTAAAAAAAAAAATCAAAGCAATGCCTTAACTGTAATATAAAGGAAAAAATAAATGGGTGATTCAATATGAAACTGCTCAGGCATCCCTAAATGGAATTATTCAGAATGTGCTTTTTTGGGGGAAGTGAGGGTATACGGTTTCTTTCACCCAGGATAATTAATTTGGGATTCTCCATGTCATAGTGTGTATCAGTAGTTCAATACTTTTCATTACTGAGTTGTATTTCATTGTATGAATATACAACAATTTGTCAGATTCTTGTATCCATCTGTAGAATCACCGTGAAATGGACAGCCATAAAATGGACTGTGTGGTGATTCAAATTCCAAGAATGGCATTGCCATCTGATTTATTGCATTCCAGGAAAATTCAACATGTCTTAAAACTGTATGAAAAACACTTTACATTTATACATAAAATAGATTCTAGGCTCAGGTAAGGATAAACAGTTTTGTCATCTTCATAAATGAGCAGTGGGACAGTCAAGTCACACAGGATGTGGGACAATTCTTTGCTGTGCAAGACTGTCCTGGGCATTGCAAGATATCTAGCATCTTCAGCCCCACCAGCTGCTTTCTGGTAGTTCCCCCTCCCCAAGCACTGGGACAAGCAAAACATCACTCTGGTAAATTTCCAAAACAACTCCTGGAGGCAGTTGCATCCCAATAGACTCTTGATCTGGAAATCCCGTGGCCTCTTTCCTGTTGTCATTGGCTACCTCTCTACAGCGTTTGACCTGTTGACAGCTCCTCCTCACTTCTCTTTCCTCCCTTGGACTCCATGTCACTGCACTCCTCTACCTTCCCCGTTCCCCCTTCCCCAATTCCTGCCTGTGTCATTGTCTGACTCCTCACCTCCCCCTGCCCGCCTCAGCTGCCCCTCCTTCTTCCTCTCCACATGGTCCCCAACTACCTGTCCTTAGCAATTGACTCTCAAATTTCCATTTCTACACATGACATCCAAATCCACACGTCCAACTGCCACTTTGCCATTCATACCCAGAAAGCCTCAAGTTACACACGTCCAAAATCAAACTAGCCATCTTCCCCCAAAACCTGTTATTCCATCAGTTGTACCCATTTATGTGAATGACAACACCATCCACTCACTCAGTCTGGAACTGACAACCATCTTTGATCCCTCTTCCTCACTCCCACATTGAACTGATTGCACTGCTCTGGCCATTTTCCCTCTGAAGGGTCTTGGATCTGCTTCCTTTCTATCGCTGTTGTTCAAGCTATCATTACCTGTAACTTAGAATATTGTCACAACCTCCTAACTGGTACTTCTACTCTAATTTATCTTGTGATACTTCCTCAAAAGGAATTTCTGCAGATAACAATAGTATTTATAAAACATATTATTTATACTTCGTATAGTGCCTGGCATGTAAGCACCACACTAAGTGCTTCTCATCTCTTTTAATCTGCACAGCCACATCTTAAAGTAGGAAGTGCTATTATTTAAATTTTAAAGATGAGGCAAAAGAGGTTTGGGGAGTTTAACTTACCTAAGGTTGCAGAGCCAGCTGTGAAGTGACACCACCAGGATTCCAGGTCTACGGGGCTTCTAAAAGCCCTGCTCAATTTTTCTTTTTTCTTTCTTTCTTTGATACATCTTCTCCATATTGCCTCTAGACGGATCACAACCTTCTATTCGGTCTCTGCATCTATCTCATCTGCCTTTTCTTTCCCACACCGTTCTTTCAATCCATAGTTACTTCCTTTGGTTTTACTTATCTCCCTACTTAGTAAGGATTTATTCATCAGCTATTTCAAAAAAGTCCTTCACAGCAGGCTCCTCTTCTTTCACTGCGTCCACCTCATCTACCCGCAGCCATCCTTCTCCCCACTTTCATCTCCCCAGCTGCCGAGGGAAGGGCTGGAGAAGGACATGAAGAGTGCGGAGGTGGGTGGCCCGGCCTCTGCAGGTGTGAATACAAAAAACTGTGCATCTTAAGTCATTCTCTGTCTAACTCAGTGTTACTGTATGGTTCTACTATAATGAGCCAGTTAAGTAAAACGTGCTTTGTAAACTGTAGAGTGCCCTACAAATGTAAGGTGCAGTTATTCACCCTCCGTTTGCATGCCCAGGGCTTCAACTGAGTTATTCTGCGAGCAACACAATAGGTGCTCCAAGCAGAGAAAGCCACGTGTGTGTCTGGGGTGAGGGGAAGTAAGGCCCTAAATAAGAACTTCGCCTGGGAAATCTCTAACTTGTCGTTACTGCCAAACGCCAGCTTAAAACTTCATCAGGGTTGCCATGAGCCAGTAAGACAGGCAGAAAATGGTATTAGCCTGAAAATCCCCAATTTAAAAATCTCTCTAGGAGTGTTCCCCTCCCCCCCAGGCTTCCTGAAAGCTTTAAGTTCTTGCAAATGGCCTCCCTTAGATTCACAAGGCCCCTGCCCAGGTCCCTTCCCTTCTCTTCCTGGCCTCCCCTCTTCCTTAAGGCTGCAGCTCTCGGACTCCCTCCCGCCCGCGGAGAACTACAAGTCCCGGCGTGCCGCGCGCCCGCCCGCCGGCTGCTCTGGGGCTGGGCGAGTGGCGCCGCCGAGCTCTGAGCCGGGACAGCCGCCCGGCGCCGGCCTTGCGGGGCGGCAAGGGGTCCGCTGGAGCTGCGAGGGCAGCAGGAAGGCGGCCGCCCTCTCCCCTCTCCAGGATGAAAGGAAACGAAGAAAACCACAATAAAAGCCGCCTTGCCCTCCCTGGTCTCAGCTGGGTGTCCGGTGCACCTGCAGCTTGTTGCACCCCGATCGTGGAGTCTGTCCCTCCGGAGTAGAACTGGGGCCAGAAGCGTGCGGGCCTGCGGAGGGGGCGCTCGCCGGGGGCTGCGGGGCGGAGCTTTCAGAATGGGACCGGTGGTGGCACGGCTCTTCTGGGCGCACAATGAGCGCCACACCGCCACACTCCCTTTCCACAGTCGAGTTGCCCTGGGGAGCAAACTCAAAGATGAACGGTTTCTTCTTGAAAGTCTGAGCCAGAAACTTTCCCCTCTGTCGCCAGTGCCACAAGCGAGTCGCCTGGTCCTCCAACGGCGCCGCTGGTGCAAGAGGCTTCCTGGTGTCCCCTCGCCTGCCCTCTGTCCTGACCCCAACGCCCCCTCTCCAGGCAGCTCCTCACGTTCCCTTGAGACGCCCTTGGGGACCCACTGAGCTTTGCCCTGCTTTCGGGCAACTTCTCGAGATTTCTTCTCCAGCCATGTGGACCTAGGTGTGCGCTCTGCTCTGCGATGCGGGCTGGACGCTGCTGGGGAGCGAACGGGAGGCAGGAAGCGGGGGATTTTGGGGGGACAGCGCTGGTGGCTGGCTCTTTGGGCGGGTCCCCTCTCTCAGGGGATTGAGTGCTGACCAAGAAAAGAAGCCGAACGGAGGCACCAGTTCACCAGTCTCCTTCCCTTCCTGACCCATCTCCCCTCCTATCTGAGCCCATTCCAGAGTGTGCCCGAAATTTCTGCTCCAGAATCCCAACAAGAGGATCTCCGAAGTTATTTTGTAGCACATCCTGTAATATCCTGGATCAGAAGGTCTTGTTTGCATCTCTCTCTCACCCTATACTTACACACTACATGCACACACCCCACGCACACTACACATTCAAACACACACCACAAACACACGCACACAACACATATACATTGCACATAGCACACACATTACACTCATCACACACATACTTCATTTATGCTACACACTACAAACATACCATCCACACGCTGCACACAAATACACATCTTTTTTATTAGCAGAGAAGAGGATTAATCTCAAACAGTTTGTTGGAGGGAGTGGGGAGGAAGTGAGTGAGTACTAGTATATATACTTATACCTGCAAAAGTCAATTAATTCCTAAGTTAGAAACTAGCTGATAAGTGAAACCTCCTGTTGGCAGAATTTTGAATGCTTTTGTGGCTCATTTTTTATAAAACGAAATTGATTTCCTCCACCCCTTCTGAAACCCTTACTCTTGTCTAATAGGTAAACTTTTGATCACAGCAGGCAAGACAGGAGGGGATGTCCTTTTCTATATGTAGCAAGAAATTCTTGGAGAACCTTCACAGAATCCTTCCTCCTGTGAGTGTGTCTAAGGAAGAGTTGGGTGTAACTACATTTTCTTTGCCTCTCTTTCAAGAGTGGAGAGCTGAACCTGATTGTGTTCTGAGGGGTGTGTGACAGTGCTGTCAGGACACCCTCCCCCCACTTCCCTTGCTCCCAAGACTCACAGCCCAGCCCCGTCCCATTTGAATTTAGTTGGAGAACAGTTCCCGCATTTCAGATTGAGTCCAAAAGCATTATGAAATCTGCTGGTGAAAGAGCTCTCTATCTCCAGAAGGGTTCATCATTTTGATCAACAGTTGTAAAAGACTCATCTGTTTCACCCATGCTCAAAAAATGGTATTCGAAAATATATGAACACTTGAAATTTGTCCCTAAATTATTATTATTTTTCTTTTCAAGGTGCAATGGCAAAGAAAGGCAGAGAGAACACCTGAAATCTTTTCTCAGTGATGATCTTTCAAGAAATTGAAAATTTCTAATGTTCCTGGTATAAGTAAAGGGAAAAAATTTTGACTTTGAAATTCAGATTGCAGATTTAAACGATAGTTGCTGATCTTCTAGAGCCCTTAAAAATTACTAACACAAAAGAGAGACCACCATCTTTCTCCTCAGTTCTGCGTGAGATCTACACAGTATTACAGCAGCAGGTGACATCTTCTAGGATCCTTCTTGGGAATCTGTATTCTCTGCCCTGTGTTCATTGGTGTTTATTTCAATGACAACTATGTATGTTTCCTGTGTATCTGCGGCGTGTTGATAGAATGGGAATGTTTCCCACCGAGCAAGAGGACCGTGAGATTGACCAGAGTAACCTTATTAAAAGATCATGCCCAGTCTTTCTATTCTACCTCCCAATTTCCTAAATTGGGATTTAGGATGGCGGCAGGTGGGAGATACTGTGAATTTGGGGCTTGGCATGGTATCTTCTTTTTAATACGTAACTAATATAGTACCAGGTGCTCATAGATAAGTTGTTACTTGAATCTGCTGAATTATGTTTTTTGTGCAACTGGGATAAACAATTAAATTAAACCTCCCAGAACTGTTTTGTAAAATAAGATTCGTTTCATTTTGAATTTTGCTGACTTCATCTTGTAGGATGAATGCCAAAATACAAGAATGTGGGTGTTCTCAGGAGAGCTGGTCATCTACTTTACATCCTCTCTGAAATATGTTACTTCCTGCATAATGAAATAGAAGGATATTCTGCTGGGCAGGGCTTGCCTTACTCTCACAAAGAGATTACTCAAAAGCCAGCCCTGGGAACTTTGTCCACGAGTCTCTATAAGGAAGAAAGAGTAACCCAGGACTGCAGCTTCTGAGCGTTCACTGCTTATAGCCCAGAAGCAGTAGATTCTTTCTTTTTCTGTCTTATTTTTTCTCCCAGAAGGGAGAAAAAGAAATAGTTTGAAACATGACATTCATGCTCAGAACAGCAGAGACTATCATGCAGCAACAATGGAGGGGAGGGAGAAAATAAGAGGCTATTGATACAGCTTTTTTTTCTTTGTACAAGACAGAGGCAAGGAGAATTCTGCAGTTTTGGACTTGTGATTCATTCACTTCCACTAATTGTGCTGAAGGTAGTTAGCAAAAGTGAACAGGCACACTGTAGCTTTAAAAAGTCAGCCATGAACCAGAAGGCAGTTGGTGCAGCTTGTGTGTGATTCCTAACGTCATGTTGGCTGAGAGCCAGCCTGGTTTTATTTCACTGTGTCAAATTGTACCTCCTTATTGAATTCCTTTGCCAGCCTACTTTGTGAAAGAAAACATTGGGGTTTCTTTGGCTGTTCTTGATAAGCCTATAAAAAATGACATGTTTTAGTTGCTTCTAGGTAGGTTTTCTTTTTACTCTTCCACAAAAAAGAAAATAATAATAATAAGACAATGTAGTGTGGTGTTACAGAGTATCATTGTGTTTTGTTTTGGTTTGGTTTTTTTCTGAGATGCTTAGAAAATGGTGAATGTGTAACAGTTTCCAACTGAAGTGAAACCATTCTTTTGGCATGGAGCAGCAGCACTATCTTCTGTCTACTCTGTTACGGTGTGTGAATGTATGTTAATATCTATCTATTTATATTAAATGTTGGCTTTCTCTATGAATGATCTAAGTGGTTTAGTAACTGGAAGTTTGTGTGTGTGTGCGTGTGTGTGGATCAGGAGTGAAGATTATCCCACACTTACAGTATTATTTGTTAATCATCTACTTCTCTAACAGTGATAAAATCTTGTGAATATACTAAATGATGCACTTGTCATGTCAGAGTAATCCCTAGAGAAGGAGTGCCGAAGTAGAAAGTGATTTGAGAGGAAATGTATTTAATTTATGGTTTCAGCTGTAGAAGAAGCACGTTTCAGAACTAGTTTTTTTAAGCAGTTTTGTTCATAGCTTTTTCATCTTGCTAATTGCATATTAATTGTGGAGCGTTTTTATTTTTTTACAATCCTCATCGTACTAAACAAAAAACAAAGTGATGGATGCTACTATATCTCCTTGAATGTTTTGGTGATTTCTACATAAATCTAATGAGCTGTCTACCCTCTCTTACACACACACATACACACACACACACCAGCACCACCTTTCTGTGCTAAGGGCTATCTGACATTTTTGTGAGCTTTCATCTTTACCACGGCATGGCCATCGCACAGACAGGTTTTTGAGGCTTTCGTTGAGAATATGTGAGGTAGGGGGTACTTGCTGACAAAAGCTTTAAGTGCTCTTTTGGATGGTGATGAAAAAATAATAGGAGTGGGAGTGGACAAAAAAACAAATGCACTAAGAAAAAAGAAATCACAGCCCGTGGTGGGAAGGGGCAGGAAAAGGGGGATTGTTTTGCTCGACTTTGACTCATTTATGAGTTGCAGTGTCTTAAATGAGAGCTTGGCACCCAGAGAAAGCCGTGCCAGTTCACACAGCACTTGTTTTGAACGAGGGTTCAATTTCATTTGCAAATGCTTATTGTCGAGGCAGGGAGTGCCAATACAGATGAAAGCAGCCCAGTCCGTCTCCTCCAGTTCTTTAGGTTTGATCAATCTCTCCAATCGCTGAGGGAACTGGAGATTTAAACAAACATACGTGAACTGGTGGGAAGCTGTAAAAGGGACCGTTGTGTTTCCGATTCAGATTATATATTCTCTCACTTTCTAAGAATTAAACACAAGCTTTTCTCCCTTATTGATTAGTTGCTGAAGTAAAGGAACCCTGCAGCCTTCCCATGCTATCTGTTGACATGGAAAACAAGGAAAATGGCTCTGTCGGTGTAAAAAAGTAAGTGAAACTGGCTTGTGAGTTCTGCTTCTGCAAACAACACAGGGACTTGGTTTCTATTTTTATACTTCTTGCTTATCTACTATAATATACTGTTTGGGGGTTGTCTTGGTTGGTCTGCACTAGCCACCAGCCACCCTTCCCCTGCCAGCCCCAGTTGCCTTGTTCTGTGTTTCATTTCGAAGACAGAGATGACTCAGACATCAAACTGTGCATAAAGGGTTAGCGTCCACAGCTTTGGAAGAGGGACGGTTGAGGATTTCAGCCCTGCATTCTGTACATGGAAACAAAAACCCCAAGCAAACATAGACCCTGCCTTCCAAGTCCACAGGCTGCAAGGGTGGGGGCAGAAAACAGAGTTTGAGTCTTTTAAAATAAAATCACCTCTCTCAAAATTGAGAGCTACAGTAATGGGGAGAAAAAAGCTTCAGTAAGAATATTAAGTTGAACAACTTCTCTGTCCTGATTTTGTGAACTGTTTGTTGAATGTGAAACGCCTCAGCATACCATAGTGTTCTATTTTCATGTCTGTTCTCACATCTGAAACTTCTCATTATCTTTGTTGTGAGTTATATGATTGATTCTTTTAAATAGGAAAATTCAGTTGCATATTATGAAATATGCTACATATTTCAGACTAACTCATAAGATATCTGTAAGTATATGAAAAAATTGTGAATTCTTATTTGGGAGTTATATTGAAGCTATAACCAGTTTGATTACAAGGAGAAAGTAACTTCCAAGAGAGTATTATCTATTTCATTTTTCCGTGTCACTTAGTTTAAAATTGCCCTCAACTTAGCCTTGGAGGAAACTAATTAAATGCAATCCATAGAAGCTGTGATGTCTGAATGAGGAAACAGTGCTATATGTGATGAATGGAATGTCTATTTCGCTTCATAGCAAAGTTACATTAAGATAAACTTAATAAAATCTGCTTTTTAAAATTGTCAAGTAATTTACATATCATTTATGTATATGCCATGCTCATCCCATTCTTGCAGTCTGGGGTAGGTAGATGTAGAACAATTGAAAGAAACCGATGCTTTTTAACGTCTGAGTGAGGTCAGAGCTGTCCAGTAGCACTTGGAGCAGTGATGGGAATGCTCTCCACTTGTGCTGTCCAAAATGGTAGCCACTAGCCACATTTGGCTGTAAAAAGCTTGGAATACGGCTACTCTACCTGACGAACTGAACTTTTGATTTTACTTAATTTTGAAAGTTAACAGTTTTATTGAAGAATAATTGACATAATAAACTGCATGTGTTTAAAGTATAAAATTTGATGTTTTGGCATTTATATACACCTGTGAAACCATTACCACAATTAAGATAATGAACATATCCATCATCCCCAAAGCTTCCTTATAACCCTTTGTAGTCTCTCCCTCCTGTCTGTCCCCACCCCCAGAGCCCCGGGCAACCACGGATGTGTTACCTGTCACTATAGATTAGTTTACTTTTTCTAGAATTTTATATAAATGGAATTATTCAGAATGTACTTTTTTTGGGGAAGGGAGGGGGTATGGTTTCTTTCACCCAGGATAATTAATTTGGGATTCTCCATGTCATAGTGTGTATCAGTAGTTCATTACTTTTCATTACTGAGTTATATTTCATTGTATGGATATACAACAATTTGTTCACTGTTTCCATCCACTTGTGGATAGATATTTGGGTTGTTTCCATTTTTTAGGTATTACAAAAATCTGCTTTGACCATTTGTGTACAGGTCTATGTCTAGACATATGCTTTCATTTCTCTTGGATAAATATTTAGGAATGGAACGGCTGGACTATATGGTAGGTGTATGCTTAACTTTTTGAGAAACTTCCAAGCTATTTTCTGAACTGGTTGCCCATTTTACATTCCCACGAGCAGTGTGTGAGCATTCCAGTTGTTCCATATTCTCGCCAACTCTGCATGAGCAGTCTTTTTTATATTAGACATTAGATTAGGTATGGTTTTAATTTTCATTTCCCTAATAACTAATGATGTTGAGCATCTTTTCATGTGCTTATTTGCCATCCGTATGTCTTCTTAAGTATTGTTCAAATCTTTTGGCCATCTTTTTATTGGGGTAGTTTTTTATATATTATTTTATAGAGAGTTTTTATGTATTCTGGACACAAGTCCTTTATCATATATATGATTTGAAAATATTTTCTTCTAGTGTATGAATTATCTTTTTGTTCTCTCTGCAGTGACTTTCAAAATGCAGGAGTTTTTAATTTTGATGAGCTCTAGTTTGTCGATTTTTATTTTATGGATAGTACTGTTAGTGTCATATCTAAGAGACATTTGCCTAACTCAAGGTCACAAAGATTTTCTCTTATGTTTTCTTAGATTTGGGATTATAGTTTTTCAGTTAATTTTTGTGTATAGTGTGAAATAAGGATTAAAGTATTTCTGTTGATGGTGGTGATGGTGGTTATTTTGTTTTGCCTACGGATATCCAGTTGTTCCAGTATCATTTGTTGAATTGTTTGTGCAACTTTGTTGAAAAATAATTTATCATATATGTATGGATCTATTTCTAGATTCTCTATTTTTATTCCATTGATATTTTTGTTTATATTTATGCCAATACAACACTGTTTTGATAACTACAGCTTTATAATAAATCTTGAAATCAGGTAGTGTTATCCATCCAATTTTGTTCTTCTTTGTCAAACTTGTGTTGTCTCTCTTAGGTCCTTTGCATTTCCAAATGATTTTTAGAATCAGTTTGTCAATTTCTACAAAAAAAAAAAAAGTCCTACTGGTGATTTGATGGCATTATGTTGAATTATAGATCGATTTAGGGAGAACTGACATCTTAACAATAGTCTGTCTTCCAACCCATTAACACAATAGTTTTCTCCACTTACTAAGGTCTTCTTTAATTTCTCTCAGCAATGCTTTGTAGTTTTCATTCCGCAGGTCTTATACATCTTTAATCAGTATTTCCCTACATAGTTCATAATTTTATTCTATTATGAATGGTATTGCTTTTTAAATTTTAATTACCAATTGTTTGTTGCTATGTAAAAATACAGTTGATTTTTGTATTATGAGCTTGTGTCCTATAACTTTGCTAAAGTCACTGATTACTTCTATTATTAGATTTTTGGTAGATTCCATCAGATATTTAACGTAGACAATTATGTCTTGTGAGTAAAGACAGTTTTACTTTTTCCTTCCCAGTGTAGACGCCTTTTATTTCTTTTTCCTACCTTATTGCACTGGATAGAACCTGCAGTAAAAAGCTGAGTGGAAGTGTGGGATTAGACCTCCTAGTTTTGTTCCTGATCTTAAGGGAAAACATTTAGTCTTTTTCTTATCTTTGTTCATATAATGTCATTTTTTTTTCCTGTCTGCTTTTACGATTTTCTCTTTTTCATTGACCTTTAAACGATTTGATTGTGAGCCATGGTGTAGTTTTTTTCATCTTTCTTGTGCTTGGAGTTTTGTTCCTTGGATCTGTGGGCTTAGTTTTCATCAAGTTTGGAGATTTTCCAATTGTTATTTTTCAAATATATTTTGGTTCCCTCCACTTGTCCTTTGGCGACTACAATTATAGGTATATTTGATCACCTGATATTGTCCCACAATTCACTGATGCCTTGTAAATTTTTTCTTCAGTCTTTTTTTCTCTTTATTTTGTTTTAGATAATTTCTATTGCTTTGCCTTCAAGTTCACTAATCTTTTTTCTGAAATGTACAATTTCTTGTTAATCTCATACAATGCATTTTTCTTTTCAGAAAATGTAGTTTTCATCTCTAGAAGTTCAACTTGAGTCTTTTTTTAATATCTTCTATGTCTGTGTTAACAATTCAGTCTTTCCTCTAGTTTCCAAACATATGAAATACAGTCATAATAACTGTTTCAGTGTTCTTGTCTCCTAATTCTATCATTTCTTAGTCAGTTTTTTATTCTTCTTCTCATCCAGGGTTGTATTTTTCTACTTCTTTGCATGCTTGTTAATTTTTTATTAATGTCAGATATGGTGAATTTTACGTTGTTGGGGACTGGATATTTTTGTATTCTTGTAAATATTCTTGATGTTTGTCCTGGGATGCAGTTGAGTTGTTGTTACACGCCATCAAGGTGGCTCCAACTTCTGGTGACCCTATGAATGAGTGGTGTCCAGAATGTCCCGTCCTCATCAGCCCTACTCAGCTCCTGTAGACTCGTGCCTATGGCTTCCTTTATGGAGTGAATCCATCTCAGATTTGATCTTCCTCTTTTCCTGCTGCCTTCAACTTTTTCCAGCATTATTGTCTTTTCCAAAGAATCCTGCCTTCTTACGATGTGCCCAAAGTAGGACAGCCTCAGTTTGATCATTTTTGCCTCCAGCAATAGTTCAGGCTTAATTTGCTCTAGGACTCACTTGTTCGTCCTTCTGGCAGGCCAGGAGAGCTCTCCTCCAACCCTATATTTGAAATGAATCAAGTTTTTTTCCCCATCAGCCTTCTTCGCTGTTTATCTTTCACACCCATACGTAGTAATTGGGAATGCAAGGGTGCAGATAATCTCGGCCTTGGTCTCTAACGACGCTTCCTTACTTTGATGATCTTTCCCAATTCTTTGCTGCTGCCCTTTCAAGTCTTGGTCTTCTCTTGATTTCTTGGCTGCAATTTTCATTTAAATTGATGACTGAATCAAGGTGAACAAAATCTATAATAATTTCAGTGTCTTCATTGGCTACGTTAAAACTGTAGTTCTTCTGTAGTCATGATTTCTGTCTCTTGAAGTTCAAATGCAGTCCTGCTTTGGCATTTTCTTCTTTCACTTTTGTCAGAAGTTGTTTCAAGTCATTGCTGCTTTCTGCCAGTAAGATGGTGTCATGTGCATACCTTAGATTGTTGATATTTCTTCCACCAATTTTCACCCCTCCTTCACCTGAGTCTAGCCTAGTTTTTCATATGATATGTTCTGCATACAGATTAAACAGATAGAGAGATGATAAAATGTACCCTTGTCTGACACCTTTGCCTTTAGGAAACCATTCTCTCTC